GTTTTATATAGAATAACTAAAATGATTTATTTTTAAAAATTGTCAGGTGTCTCTATACTTTTTACCAGTGAGTGTATTTTTCTTCGAATTTATTTTTATCGTGTATTTTATTTTTTTCTTGGCAAAGTGATCGTTCCCCAAGGAACGGTTTTTGTTTCAGAGGCTTCTCTTAGGAGACATTGGATCACACGGTGGATACATAGGAATAGTTTAGTTTAACCCTATGTTTTCCTAGCGTTTATATATTCTATCTTTATAATAAAGTTCATGCATTGGCTCCAATACGGTCAAAAATAAAAAATATTATACATAATATATAATAAAAATGGCACTTCGAACCTTGCTTTATTGATATATAAAAAAAATATACTGCTATTACATGATCGAATACAAATATATTATTATTTTTTTGGTTCTGGTACTAATGATGTGAATAATATTTTAACTAAAAACATTAACTCTGCGAAATAATAAGGTAAGCCAATGCATTTTCGATCAATATTAATATGGTCGTTATCCACTCACTATTGCTCGATTTTATCTGTATCATATTCTATAGGTACTCTTATTGACTGCTGTTTTTGATTCTCCAAGTTGAGAATCTCGTTACCATTATACTATAATATATAATTCGAAGTCCAAGTTATCACGTAACTTTCAGCCCTGTTCAACATTACTCTTGGTACATTTGTATTATTAATCACATCCCTGAGATTCATCTCAGCTGAAATCCTGATGGCATTATCATGGCTGTTTACAAAATATATTCTTGCAACGTTTTGATCAATTCTTTCGATTCTTAATAGGATATTGACATCAATAATGACAATATTAACATTGTCGTTTTTATAAGAGAAGCTTCCTCTAAGCGTAGTAGGCGAGAGGTCGGAATCTGATGTCTCCATTATTTTTTTGAGGATAAAAAAAATAAGTTAAACAGGTTCAAAGTTTGTAATACCATTTGTTTTATATGTGAGAAAAAATTATCACATGATTAACTACCCTTGGTATACACTCACCTTTGTAAGATCACTTTTTCTTTGAACTCGATAGTAAACTTTATCAAAGAGAAAACCTTCTTAACAACAGAATAGTAATTATTATCACTGGATAATCTTAAAATTGAGATTGATTCGAACTTCAGTTGCACCCTACTAAAATTATTATAGTAATTTATTATATCTCGTGGTTGCACTCACGAGAATTGATTTCTGCGGTGGCGTATTTTCCGGAAAAAACTAATAGCTAAATTAATTTCTGCGGTAAGTCATCCACGATCACAGGTGGGATAATCATACTAATAATCGCGCAATCCTGGTTCGAACCCAGACCTAAGGTTAATATTTTTAAATTCGGCCGAATTTATTTTTTTCTTGACAAAAGTGAGCGGCGTGAACAATTGTTCACGCGCACGTGATTTTATTTCAAAATTTTGACCAAATATATGCCTTATAAAAAAATTATCAAATATGCAATCTGAAATAGATTTGTTGAAACAAGAAAATGCCAGACTTATGGCTAGAATTACTGAATTAGAACAGATCGCAAAAGAAAAAGATGAACTTAAAGCTAAAGTAGCAAAACTAAGACATAATTTTGAGATACTTAAACAGCAAACCCAGGACACTACTAATATACTGGATACTCGTTCTACTAATGATATTCCTGAACAAATAGTTAATATAACTGCTAATAATACTATTGCCAATACTACTACCAATACTACTTCCAATACTACTTCTGATACTAATACCGATATTACTGCCAATATATCTACTTCCAATATAACTCAACTTATTCATGTAAAACCTAAATCATTGGAAGACAAGGAAATGGACGACTTTCATGATTCAATATATAAGGAAACAGTTAGTAAAGAGATAATTCAGAGTATACTTGCACGCAAAATTATTTTGAAGTCCCGAAATTGCAATTTTGAGGAAAAAAGTCGAAATAGTTTTTTATAGAAGACGAAATTATTTTACTTAAAACCCGAAATTTTTTGACCACCCAGATTTATTCTTTGA